ATATATTTTTTTTTTTTTCCCCCGGAATTTTTAGAAAAGTCCACTTTCATCTCTGATTGTAAAAGCAACGATGATGATATCGCTGATGTTATTTATCCCCCACCCCCACCCCGCCTACTACTGTCCATGTAGAAAGAGATACAGGATAAATATTATTTTAATTCTGCTTGTTTTTTATCTCTTAGAATACATCAGATCCCGGCTTTTAATTGCTTTAAATATCAATGGTTGAATATTTCTCCACTTTTTTACCCCCGACTTATTTTCATGCCTGAAAATGAAGCCAGTTTAAGAGATGTGTCAGCATTATCATGGTGCCTGTCTGACCAGAATTTAATTCTTCACTGGTTGAGTGGTGTTGGTCAGGTGCTGAAATCCTCGCTCAAAATGCATTACTCGACAAAAGCCGCAGCTACTTTGATAAAATGTTTCCCCCAAATGCATTTTGACACAGTGCTGCCTGCCTCTTGTGTCTTGAGGCTTCTCAAAGCATTTTCCAAAGGGAGGAACTTTTTGAGTTTTTGTTGTAGCCCATGTATTTGCTTACAAAATTGAAATGAACTGTCAGTAAGACAGTTGGTTTACATGCCAACACTGGTTTAGACTCTGGAAACAAAAACGTGTCAAAATAGAATTTTGAAGTGTGGTTTTTTTTTGTGTGTATGTGTAAAGACTGAAAACCACCTGCCATGTGTTTTATGTGTGAAGACTAGGCATGCAATTGTGCTTGTCAGCCAAAAACACATTTTTGGGTAAGACCAAGATCTGTTAATACATAGCACCCATTTTTGTAATATAGTCTATCTTCACGACATCTTCTACAACTGGCCTGGCATGCATGTTAGTGTTTTGTTTTTTTGCACATGCATGGGCATTGTGTTGTTAACATTATTTGTAGGTGAAACATTCCCCCCCCCCCCCCCACACACACACACACACACACACACACACACACACACACAAAGGAAACACTTTGTTTTTTCCAAATTATTAGTAAATGTACCTATAGCATGCGTATACCTGCACGCAATGACCCCAGTCATGTTTGTCAAGTGATAGCAAGAAATTGTACATCATGTTCCCTTTCTTTTTGACTGTTGTATACTTAGCTACTATCACTTACAAACATAAAACTCCACCAGCTCTTATCTGGACTTGTCTCAGGCAGTCTGGTCACTCGTGCAATTCAGTTTTTCGCAACTAAAAGGTGAGGAAACCTTTGTTGGACTTTTCACAACCTTCACTTATGATCTGAAACTTTTAGTGAACGAGAGCTACATTTATTCTTCCACTGTCTTTGTCATTGGCCATATTAATATTTGCTTTACTGTGCCTTATACAATGCTTTGTTTTAACACAGATACTGGAACCATATCATCATGTGGACAAAAACCTTCTGCACTGTAATAGAAGTTACAACATGGAAACGACCACTGCCTGGTAGTTGTTCTGTAGACCGATGTCACATTCACCAAAATTATTTGAAACTCCAAGCTTATGTATGATTCGTAATGAGAAATATGCCAGCATGCTAAATATATTGCACGAAATAAATTTTAATGTAAAGCAGTATTTTGACGGATCGGCATAGGAAAAAGATAAAAAGAGATACCCCCCCCCCCCACATAATTATGTAGAATTTAATTGTAATTAGTGGAAGCCCTATGCTTGTTTTTGTTTTTTCCTACCAGCAGATCCCATGACATTCATAGTGTGTAATTTCTGTCAACTTGACTGCGTAATTTAGTTTTACTCCCTGTCGTTGCAGAAAATTTTATTTCACAAAGATAGTCTGTTTGAAATGGAAGCGAGCTATTTAGTGTCCATTCTGCGGATTTGAAGGTTTCATTGCCTCGTTTGTGAGGGTGTCACCACGTTATTAGACTGCACAAGCTTTGTGCCTGAGAATCATCCAAATTGATTAAGCTGCGTTCTTTCAAGTGATAGGCTCTAATCCTTTGTATCATCATCTCACCTTTTCCCCTTTCTTAAGATGCTCTCCAAAGCGCCTTGTACCACTTTTTTTCTAGGTTTTGGTCTTTTCTGACTATCACGTCACGTGACAGAGACGAGTGGTTTGATCAGTATATAGCACGGATGGAATCGCCTGAATTTCAACATCAACTTCTCTCAGACTCTTCAGAATTTCAACATCAACTTCTTTCAGACTCTTCAGAATTTCAACATCAACTTCTTTCAGACTCTTGTCTTGATATTGCGGCCCAATGTCAAATGTCCCACGTAACTGTACGAGGCCGCGGCCCAGTGATTGGGGACCGCTGTATTGAAGACGCAAGATGACAAAGACAGAGACACTTTTGATAGCGTCAGAGATGAGGTTAACAGCATGTGACATTCTTGTCCCCAATGTTTTGCCGCAATGTCTTTTCTCCTTCATCATCTCTCTTCCTATTGCTTCTCTTCAGTTTCATTTCTCCTGAGCTCAGCCAGATGAAGGGCAACACAACTCTACCTGGCAGAGTATTGCAGCATTTGCAGCATTTTCTTGTGTCATCAAAGTATTGAAATGATAGCATGCTGTGATGATAAAAAGAGTGACTACAAAATAAATATTGGATGAGTAGGATGTATTGATGAAACATGATTGACTCTCAAATACAGTGCCGTGAAAAAGTATTTTCCACCGTCCTGAGTTCTGTTTTTTACAGATTCATCTCACACGATTTCAGTTCCTCTAACCCAGGGGTGTCAAACTCATTTTTGTCACGGGCCACATTGTAGTTACGGTTTCCCTTCGAGGGCCGTTATGAATTTTGGGAAACCATATAAATGTTGAATCACCTCCACATATTACATACACACCGCACAACAAATTGATGGATAACTAGTTTTAAAATCAGAAGTCAAAAATAATGACTGTTACTGTGGATTACATATGACAATTTGAAATTTTGGTTCAGACTTTAGCAAGCATCATGGAACTTGACATGCTTGATTTGCTTTCGCGGGCCACATAAAATGATGCGGCGGGCCAGATCTGGCCCCCGGGCCTTGAGTTTGACACCTGTGCTCTAACCCTTTTTAACATCATACAGACACAACCCAAGGAAATGCAAAAAGCAGTTTTTAAATGCCAATTTAATTTATTTACACACAAATTTAAACCTACCTTTTAAGTAAAAAAAAAATCCCTGAAACTACTAAAGCAAAAACTGAAATCTAGGGTTTGTGATAATTGGTGATGAGTTTTTAAATTTTTTTTTTTTTATTTTAAGTAATTGTACTTGTTTTCAGGATAACATTGTGATGTTGACGTTGGTAGGAACAGTTTGTGGCAGGAATATAAACACAACATTTTTCTGGTATGGAAGACGAATGAATTTATCCGTTACGCTGCGACATGCTGCCGGGAACAACTTCAAAATAAAAGTATACCAAGGCATTGAAGTTCATATGTTATTTGGTTTATTTTGAAGTTGGTCTTCTCACCAACTTGCCATAGTGTTGCTGTCATGCATAGCATCAACAACTTGCTCCTGCGCTTGGCTTGACTACCTCTTCCTTACATTGTGCATGTAAATAAGCGGCACTTGCCGCAGAAAAAATGCCTCAAGCATTTTTTGGAATCGAAGTACTTGAATTACATGTGGATTTGTTTCACCATGATTATTTTTGTCGCATGGAGGCAGGCTTCTACTAGAGTTGTATTAGCCAGTGTAGAAGCTAAAGATGAGCTACAGTTTCAGGTTTCATATCTCGGATTACATTTCGGTGGTGGTTTATTAAATCCTGTCCTACTGTGAGGCTAGGTTACCTGCATAGGAGCGAACGGATCTGTGGGAACACAGTGTTTTGTACCCTCCCTCTGTGCCCATCTTCACTGTCCTCATTTTTAAGAGCTTTTCAGCTCCAAACTCACAGCTTTTTCTTTCTTTCTTTCTTTCTTTCTTTCTTTCTTTCTTTCTTTCTTTCTTTCCTTCTGCGTTGTAAATAAACTGAGTAAATATTACAATGTACTACTATCCATTACTCTTTATTTTGTCAAGTGGCTGACTGATAAACTGAAGAAATGGGATGTTGGGGCACGATGCAGACAGTAAAAAAAAAAAAAAAAGTAGGAATGAAGATTTGAAGTTTCCGTCTGACTCAAATTCACATGTGGTAGCAGGACTCCACACCAAGTTTTTGCACTTGGTTGCACCAGCACTAAAGTTAGGTGCAAAAGTTAGCAGACTTTTTTCCATGCTTCATCGGCAGGTTGCACATAGTGCAACCACAGGTTTTTTTTTTCTGTTGCACCGTTGTGAAATTAGGCGTGGGCACCCAAATTGGGTGCACCCTAGAGCCCTGGGTAGAGAGCCAGCTGTGCCACTTGGTGTAAAACCTTTAATCACCTGCATGGTTGAGTTGTATTGAACGGTTGGGAAACCACAGATGGCAGTTGATGACAAAAATCAATTAGGCTTCCCACAACCTTCAATTAGTTGAGAAGGGGGGGGTGACTTACTATTTTATGTATTTTCAAAGAATTTACGCTGGGAGAAATGATCATTTCTTATGTGAAAACAATTCCAAAATGTTTACAATTTTGAATCTATGGATGCATTTCCATTAACAATCATCCAATCATGTAAAGTGTAGTCTGTGGCTGTTGCTCAAAGGAAGGTGGTCCTCCCTCACACATCATGACACATCAGTGATCAAGCACATCAGCTTTCAGCAATGTGAAACTGGATGCATGAGATTGAATGGGCGCTGTCAAAGATTTGAATTTATACCTGGTGTCTTTTTGCAATGCTAGGATCATATACTGTATTTCTATGCTACAAGTGTCATTTCTTGTCTAATTACCTCATCGATTGATCTTGACAAGCACATGCATTCATCAATTTGACATTTATGGCTATGTTATGTATTCCAGGTTGTGCTTATACCTGTATCTTCATCAGACCTGTCATCATTTATGTGTTTTAGGAGTTGCTGGGTATGCTTTGCAACAGACGAGGATGACCGCACAGCAGAGTGGGTGCGTCCATGCCGCTGCCGGGGTTCCACCAAGTGGGTCCACCAGGCCTGCCTACAGCGCTGGGTGGATGAGAAGCAGCGTGGCAATAGTACAGCACGCGTAGCCTGTCCACAGTGTAATGCAGAGTATCTCATCGTCTTTCCCAAACTGGGTAAGTGGCACTTTGAAAATGAGCCAAGGGGGCTGGGGAAAGTAGCTGCGGGATTACCAATTGTAGATGATCGTAGAAAGGGTTCTGTCAGTCGTCATCTGTACCTGTGGGTAAAAAACAAAAAAAACAAAAAACAAAAAAAGCAAAAAAGGACGTTTCGCTTCTCTCACAGAAGCTTCGTCAGCGGTAGACAACCCTGAAGTCTCCGTGAAGACTCCGGGAAGTTGCTCTGCGCTAAAAAGCTGAGCGTGGCCTGTTTGAGGACTGGGTGGGGATGGTTAGTCACGCCCCTATTGGTTTATTAGAGGCCCATTGGTTTCTAAATTCCCTATCATTGGGTCTTGATTAGGCCTATTGTTTGGGCTAAGGCTGAATAGCTACTTTCAGTTAGCCTGATCAGCATGTCTATGTCCCTTACTGGTCAACAAGGAAGAGTGTAGATGAGACTTTTGTATAAGCCGTTGATTGCAAAAGTTATCTGCCATGAGTGTATTTTTTTTTAAACCTTATGAGAAACAGTGGGCTGTTCAATTTTTACAGTGGCTAGTACTTGGGTATTTTTCTGATTGATGGTTCAGAAAACCGAAAGCTTTATATATCCAGACTTGTCAATGTGAAGCACGCCCAAGCTCACCAAACTTGCCAGAATCTGCTCAAGATACATTTTTCGCGTTCAAAATAGACCAATCTCCAGTTTGTAAACAAAGATGACAATCAGGAGGCACATAGTGGTTCAAGTAATAAGAGTATCTTGGATTTAAGTGGCGTTTCAACGCAAGCTGTGGTGTCTCAGTCTGAACACTGGTGGGTGGTACCGATGTACTGACTGAGAAAACGAAAGAAGAAAATCACAAAGAAGAATGTTGACTGGATACTGTAGCACTGTGTCAGGCTTTAACATTATCGCTCAGCTTAAATAAGAGCTTTAAACAACTTTGTCAGCATTACAATTGGTAAAGCAGTAATTATGAGTTCCTTAGGGACCTCTGCACCAATTGATCATGATGATTTACACTTTCTTCTTAAAATAGCAAGCCTGCAGTCAAGTCCTAAATATCACAGGCACCGGGTTATTTACTGGAGTAATCCAAGTGAGCTGAACCGTCTGCTTCCAGCACTTGATTGAGTGAGAGCACAGCCTTGGGCTCTATAAATATAAATGAACCTTCCAGGCCTCCTGCAGACAACATTGTCTTGAGGCCAGCTCACGTTGCAGCATCTTGTTCTTTGAAGATAAAATTCGAATGACTGATGGATAATTCAGTGACCAATATTCATACACATTTAGCTTTAAATTTATTTTAGGGATAAACATCATTGTAAATGCACCCTTATACAGGCCTGAGGATTTCGGAAATTCGCGGTAACCGTTTTTCGGTTCCGTCGGATTACCCAATGGGAAACGACGGTAACTAATTTTGGGTTCCGTAAACGTTCATCATGGGAACCCATTTTTCTATTTTGACTGATATTCATAATCAAGAATTCTGATACTCAAAAGTATAATGTTAAAGGGTACATGTTTGAAAACTATGCATTAACAATGAACATTACATCAGCAGCTGTGTACTCCAGGTTTATTCTACAAAATAAATGGATCAAAATATGTTGTACTCATATGGCATCTTGAATACAGTGTCCCACAAAATCAGAGTATTTTTTCCAATCTCACACTGCAAAGATTAACTTACTGGTAATCATTAATACAGGTAAGTATTGATGTGGCTTGACGTCCTCTTTCCAAGGTGATGCATGTGCTGCAACAGCACGCTGCAGTGTCTCCAACACACCTGATTCAATTGTTCAGGCCTCAGACAGGTGTGTTGGAGTAGGGAGGGACCTAAAACAGGCAGGATATGGCTCTCGAGGAACCGGAGTTCCCTACCCCTGCTGTAGTTGGTTGATGGCTGCCATTACGTGCTTTGTTAGGGCACAGTGCTTTTGGCATAAATAACAGTGCATGCCTTTCTCAGCATGCCTGAGCCAAGTAAATTCATGTAGTCACAGCTGCCAAAGCCACTGGATCGTGTGTTTTTAAGACGACGTGGGAAGAGGAATTAAAAAAAAAAAAAAGTTTCAGTCACGTGCACATTGAATTTGCCTTATGCTCCGAATTGGAAATGGATTTACGTAGCCTCACCTCGTCGACTCGTTGGACCCTGCATTACAGCCCTCACTATCCCCAGTGTTTCAGACCAAATTTCCACCTGTTGTCACCACCATGAATTATTACATTTTAACCCATTCACTCCCAAAGACATATTTGTCTTTTCACACTCCACACATCCAACACCAGATACTTTTTTTTTCAATTTTTCCGAGACTTAGGGTAAAAAAAAAAAAAAAAAACATTTAAAAAAGGGCTCTAGAATTGGCTGGTACTGAATGAGTTAACGGCCTCTTGTGTTAAATTCTCTCCTCTGAAATCTGCTTTCGTCCTTGCGAGTGGCTGATTTTCCCTGCCATATCTGCAATGCTAAAAATCATAAACATTACTTTGACACGAAGGAAACTTATTTTAATAAACATGACAATATTTAATATTTACCATCCATCCATTTTCTAATCTGCTTTATCCTCACAAGGGCCGCGGGAGTGCTGGAGCCTATCCTAGCTAACTTTGGGCAGTAAGTGGCGGACAACCAATCGCAGGGCACATATAGATGAACAACAATCTGCGCTCTCACTCACGCCTAGGGACAATTTAGAGTGTTTCATTCACCTGCCATGCATGTTTTTGGAATGTGGGAGGAAACCGGAGTACCCGAAGAAAACCCACGCAGACACAGGGAGAAACTGCAAACTCCACACAGGAAGATCAGATCCGGAATCGAACCATGAATCGAATGCAACTCTGCACTGTGAGGCGGACGTGCTAACCAGTCCTTTTCTGTACATTGCTCATGCAGCTCCGGCACATACTGCACTTGTGTTCCTGCAACATGTCGACAAACTCTTTCCATACAGTCTGTTTTGTTTTTATTCCACCTCCCTGACAACCGTACTTTTGGCGGCACCGCAAGCGCAAGATACCTGTGCTCCCAGCTCTGCACTCAGTATAGATGTGGCGTCACGGAAAAGTAGCTTTTACATTTCTAATTAGTCATGACGAAAGTCAGAGAAATGCGCCTCTACACCCTTTTCTTCACACACCGGCGGCAGTTTCATTATGGCACAGGTGTGTGCGTCGTCATGTGTAGCGTAGAGGAGAGGGAGGGAGGCACACTGATCGTGTGACTGAGACTCTTAACTCTTGTTTCCATGTTTTCCTAGCACTGGACTTTTTCCTCCTTTTCTCTCTTTTTATTTCTTTTAAGGAGTAAAAAAAAAATAAAAATACACATTTGGTTTCAAAAAAGCCTGGCTCAGTGTACCCAGTCAGTGTTTGGAGTGACTGCCTTGAACTGTGGCCGATACCAGCTTTTTTATTCTTTAATTTTTTTATTCATTTATTTATTTTTCAGCTCCCTTTTTAGGATCTTTATTTTCTACTCAGTGTACTTTCACTTTACTCCCGTACTACTGTCACTAATGCCCTTCTTTAAAAATTAGGGCTTACTGATGTGATTTTTCTTTTTTCTTTTACAAATTCCAGTATTTGGCAGAATTAAATTTAGATAACGGATTGACTCATTCATTCCCAAGAATGACTTAAGTCGTCCATTACAATCAAAACATTTGGTGCCAAGGTCATTTTATGTCTTTTGAGACTTTATTTTTTTTTAATTTTTTGGGAGGGGAGGGGTTGATATGGGTCTGATGTGTCAGTCCTTTTAATTGAAAGCAGTCGAATGGTAATGAGCCAAACTGCCAACAGAGAGTAGTGGTGCACTATTTTAGATTGAAAAATCCTCCTTTTGCTCACTGTTAACAACGGGGGAAGGGCGGCGCGGGCACAGTCAGCAAACTGTCGGTCGATCTGAAGTGTATTTATGTATCGACGTCACAGAGTATGTTTTGTGATAGCTGAAGTATGTATTTGTCATAGATGAAAAAATATCAGGATCTGACGAGGATGACTATGTTATATGAACAGCCACGTCTGGTGAGTTGGCATCATTTGATACATATAACATTATTTTGCAGTCAAAAGCATTCCGAAATGTGGACTTCGCTGATTTTGTACAATGAAATCACTGCTAAGATGTTAGAGGTGCCACAGAAGAAAAAAAGTATTTCCATCAAAGTCATTGTTTTGCTTGATGTTTGTTGACATGAAAAACAATTTTTGTCAGGATTTTGTGCAAACCTGGTGAATTTCTTCAAACTTACCCATGTTCTACAACTGATAAGTAGAGAACAGAAAAAAAGTCCAACTTTGCGGTGAAAGAAGTTGAATCTTTCATTTGTTAGAGTCGATGTAGATATACAATGCAATATTCTGTGGCTCTTGGAAAAAAAAAATCTAAAATGGCTGCCATTCTATGAGTTAATTGGCCAATTAAAAAATAAATTACTATACATTTTCTCTCCCTTAACGCTAACAACAATACAGATATGAATTAATAGGCAGAACAGGGCTAATATTGTCTGATTAAATTGTCTGGCTATTTAATTGTTCAAGCCTTACTAGAAATGATAAATAATCTTTGTAATTCATGGCTTCATTTTCTTGTGACGAAATCCTTTGCATTCCAAACGTGGAGAGTTCATTTGGTCCGCTGTCTTTACATTTTTTACTGAATCAGCTAATTTATTGTAAGTGATCGACAGTATGTGTTGATTTTAAATAGAGAAGCTGAATAAATGTACTGTCTGATGTCAGAAGGACTTTGAATTTGGTAGTGGGGAGTTAAATTGGTAACGGAGGTCAATTGACTCAGGTCAGAGCTGAAAAAGCAGCTCATCAACGGCTCAACAGAGAGTAGTGTGATACTGCTTCTGTTAAATTCATGAATTATGACAGGATCTGTCTCATGGAGGGCATTTTGTTGATTAGATAATGGTTCACATATGGCATGAAGAATGATCACTCATTAGCAGTAAAGAAAAATTGTAAAATTGCACCTAGAGCACATGAGCTGCACTCACGCTCTCTAATGAAAAGAAACGCCATTTAAAGATCACTTGGAAATTGCACCTGTCAGAGCACTGACGTGCAACAGCAATCTCAGTCATTTTTGGTATCTTTGTGTCAGCTCAGTCTGCAGAAGGTTCCTTAAAGCAACACCATTGAAAGAGACGATAGGGGGGTCACCCACAGGGTTACTGCCGACCTCATCTCATGTCCACAGACGCCCCACAGCCACATATCATTTTTTGTATTCAGCCAGCTTTTGTTTATTGTCGTAGAAGCGTGGCGTAAGGAGCGATGGAAGTGAGTCGATGAGTAGTCGTATTCCTGTACTACCACCAGCACCTGCTGCAGAGCCAAAGGGAGCCCACAACACAACTCAGAGGACAATGTGTCCTTGGTCGCTCATCCTCTGCCGTCACTATGTGTGTTTGACTTAACAGAACTGCAGAACAGGCAGCCTAACACGCACATGGTGCTTAGCACTGCAGTTAAGCACCCTCCTTTTTAATTATCTCAATTACAAAATGGGCTGTCAGTGCACATAAATGCTTGCATCTCGGTCCTGTTGGCGGATCATTAAAGGCTGACACGTTTTCCTTCAGCTATGGCACTGTAACATTCAGGCAGGGAAAGGGTGTCAGGAATAATAACTTTATCATCAAAATAAGACACACAAATACACTCAAGCGTTGAAAGATTGAATGGCTGGACTCCTTGGGGGGGGGGGGCACTTGGAAGTTTCAAAAGGCCAGCAAGAGGTGAGATTGCAAAAACTCTATGGAACGAAAGGACTAACCGGATTTTGAAACTGAGACCTTCCAGAGCGGTCATTTTGATGGATTGTGCTGTGCTGCGCGCTGACAATGACTTAATCGTTATTAATCGTTTTTCCCTGGGTGAATTATGACAACAAGCCCCGTTAGATAATTGTTTTTTTTGATTTCGACTGTCTGGCATGTACTGCCCACAATGTCATAACTATCAAATCTCACAGCCTTTTTTTTTCCTTTTTACCAAACCTAACACGGCTCCTTTTGGCCGGAGCAGGAGGACTTTTTGACTCAACTCACTGTGTTTCAGCCGAGCAATTCATCCTCAGACTTTTCAATATTTTGAAACAGATGTAATGCCTCCTCCACTCTACAAGCTCCTGTTCACTTGGGAGTAGCCATTTGGCCCCACTATTAGGAAGACATTTATTAATTTACATACTAATTTACTGTTTATAGTTTGTATTTGTACTTTCTAATTATATTGTGCAAGTGGCCATAATGTCGTGATATTCCTGATTTAAGATTTGATGTTTGTCTCCCATCAGGGCCTGTGGTCTACGTACTGGACCTGGCTGACCGGCTTATCTCCAAGGCTGGACCCTTCGCAGCCGCCGGCATCATGGTGGGATCCATATACTGGACCGCCGTCACGTATGGTGCCGTCACTGTCATGCAGGTTTGACCAAGGGAGTCCATCAAAGCAACTTCCTGTTATTAGGGCACTTGATATTTTTCACTCGCCATTTAAAAATGATGCAGGCCAACAGTCAAATTAGGATTCAAATTCGACTGGTCAACAAATGTTTACATTTTGTTTGAATCAGAGATGCAAGTAAACTTTGCAAGATGATTTTTTTTTTCACTGATTCCGTATCTGCTCGTGTTTTTTTTCTCTAGCACATCAGGTTTTCATAATAATAATAATAAATTATATTTATAAAATAAAGTTTAGGTTCAGCAAAAGAATTTTTTTTTCTCAAAGGTCCTCACTATAAATTACATCGCATGGTAAAATCTGTTTTGCGCAAGCTTTTATAGGTCAAACTGAAAAACAAAAAATGAAAATATCTGAAAAACCTGATGTTCTAGCAAAAAAAAAAAAAAAGAATAAAAAAGTACAGTGGTACCTCAACTTACGAAATTAATTGGTTCTGGAAGAAATTTGTTCACTAGAAAATTTTGTAGGTAGAGACGCATTTTCCATGTAAATGTCCTAATCCGTTCCAAGACCCCCCCCCCCAAAAAAATTCAGACGTAAAAATGTCTCCAAATATGTAACAAATACGTTAAAATTAGATTACTGCACAATAAATGAGAGTTGTGCATAATGTAAAAAACAGAATAAAGAATAAAAATGGTCTTTTAAGTTAAATAACTTCGAACTGCGTCATCGTTTTTTGCCCTCTTTAGTTCATGTTCTCTCTCAGAAGTGCTTTTTGACTGACATTTTGTAAAGAACTGATCCAAGGACCTTTGCTTTTGTCGGCTTTTAACAATCCTTCGAAAATGTCCATGGCAAACAGCATAGTGAGTGATCAGGGTGAACACTTTCTGAGTGATTCACATTTACCTAAAACTACCAGAGTGCCTCATGGCCCGAGGGGTGAATGACGAGGACGCTGCATCGACACATTCTATCTACACACACAGACGGTAGAAGCCCCTCTTAGCCAATGGGATGCCAGGATGATGCTCGGTAATAGCCAATGGCAGCGCGGCTATAAGTATGTTGTGTTCAGGAAACTGTATTTTTACTTTTGTATCTTAAAATTTCTTTCAAACACGAGGCAATATTTTCCTGTTGAGGCGTTTCGTGAATTGAAAATTTCAAATGAAGAGACTGTGGCATGTAACCACAGCCGCAGGGTCATGTTACGACGGCGCGAAGTGCCGCCCGTAAAGGTACATGTGCCGGAGCACAGTCAGACTCCACGCGTTTTATTGAACAGAGATGTTCGTAAATAGAGGTACCACTGTAGACATATTAGAAATCAATGTCAAAAATACTTTTGAGGGACACATAAAGACATCTCTGAGTAGGATTTGCTTTTGACCATTGTTATTAAAAAAATACATAAATCACAACACAATCATGAAAGTGGAGTGAAAATGCCTGGTGGGGTATGATGTGATTAATATTCTGTCCTATCTGCAGGTGGTGGGCCACAAGGAGGGTCTCGATGTTATGGAGCGGGCCGACCCTCTCTTCCTTCTCATTGGCCTGCCCACCATCCCTGTCATGTTGATTCTTGGCAAGATGATCCGCTGGGAGGATTACGTCCTACGCCTGTGGAGGAAGTACTCCAACAAACTACAGATCCTCAACAGCATATTCCCTGGTTAGTATGCCCATTTTTCTTTTTCCTCCTTAGTGCAAATCATCATGCTGAGTGGCTTCCACTATGTAAAGTGGATCCGCGTTACTGATGAATCACCAAAGTAAACGTTGACTCCAAGTGACAAACAGCTTAACGCAAGCACCCTTGATTCTTCATTGGAGGACTGTGCAAGCAAGTTTTCCTAAAATGACGTTCTTCAATAGTCTCCCATATCTTGGTGGTGATAGTGAGACGAGATGATCGGGTGCACATTCAAATGTGTTTGAATAAGGTTAAATGATTTAAAGAGTTGGAGAGAAGTAACAACAAACCAAATTCCATTGAAGTTGGGGTGTTGTGTTAAAATAATAACGCCAGAATACAATGATTTGCATATCATGTTCCAACTATATTTAATTGAATACACAACAAAGGCACGATATTTGAAACCGACAAGCCTTACATTATTATGGTCTCTTTAGGCCTGTCACAGTAACACATTTTTCAGGATGATCTATTTTCCCAGAAGCTATCACGATACGTTTTTTTTTTCATGTCACTGTGTGATAGTGAGGATGTGAGTGCAAAAATAATTAAAGTACACCTTTTTAAGAGAAAATGTCTTTCAATCCTCCAGAATCTTAAATGTTTTCATTGAAATGTAGACTAATAAAATATCTAAGATTAAAAGTATGAATAAAATTGACTCTGGAAAAAAAAACTACAACCAATATTAGAATAAAATGTAAGCAACCACACATGTAAATAAATAACCATTTAACGAGTCTGGGGAAATAAAAAAATATTGCGTCTATTTTATTTACCAAACAATAAGTCCATCCAAATCATCTATCTATCTCAACCGCTGCGGTCGTTGCGTGGGGGCAGCAGATTCAGAGAGGAACAACTTTCCTCTCCCTAGCCACTTGTTCCAGCTCTTCCCGGGGGATCCCAAGGCGTTCCCAGGCCAGCCGGTAGACATAGTCTCTCCAACCAGTCCTGGGTCGTCCCCAGGCCCCTCTGCGGGTAGGACATGCCTGGAATACCTCACCAGGGAGACATCCGGGATGTATCCTAACCAGGAGCCGAGCCTAGCTCCTTTTAATGGGGAGCAGCAGCGGCCCGGATGACTGACCTTCTCACCGTATTTCTCAGGGGGAGCCCAGACACCCTGCAGAGGAAACTCATTTGGGCCTATTGTATCCAGGATCTCATCCTTTCAGTCATGATCCACAGCTCGTGACCATAGGTGAGGGTAGGAATGTAGCTCAACTGGTAAATTGAGAGCTTCGCCTTATGGCTCAGCTCCTCCTTCACCATGACAAACGCATCCATAATCCGCATCACAGCAGGCACTGCACTGATCCCCCTGTCAATCCTCTGTTCCTTCCTGCCCTCACTTGTGAACAAGACCTCAATGTACTTAAACTCCTCCACTTGGGGACCATGGTATCTGATTTTGAGGTCCTGATTTTGATCCCAACCACTTCACACACAGCTGCGACCCGCTCTAGTTGCAGTTGGCGAGTGTGGCTTGAAGAAGCCAACAGTAGCATATCGTCTGCAAAAAGCAGAGATGAAATACTGAGGCTACAAAGCCAGATCCCCTCCCCGAAGAGCTGGTCCACTGTTCTACAGCTGAGACTTCCTGACGAACCCTCCTTTCCGGCACCCCTGAATGCACCTTAACACAGAGGCTGAGTAGTGTGATCCCTCTGTAGTTGGAACACACCCTCCCCTTCTTAAAAAGAGGGACCACCACCCTGGTCTGCCAATCCAGAGACACCCCAATGTCCATGCGATGTTGCAGAGGTGTGTCAACCAGGACAATCCCACAACATCCAGAGTGGGCGAAGCTCTGCCAGCGGTGTGAATTGAAATTCTTTCTGACGTTTGGGTCTGCCAAGTCAGATCGTCTTTTTCCCCTGCCATCGGAGCCAACGCCGTTCCTCTCTTCACCCTCGTGTCTAAAACATGTGGCTGCAATCATCAAACTGCAGAGTGTCCTGGTGCCATGTGCAAATATGGACAGTCTTATTTTTTAACATGGCGTTCATTATGGACAATCCGCGATGACCACCGAAGACCAATAACAGGTCTCACTGTCATTGCCCAGGGCAACGTGGTCATCCCCAATGGGAGTACTCACTACCACAACATCCAAGGACTTCAAAAAGGGTGGGTACTCTGAGCTGCTGTTAGGTGCAATAGGCACAAACAACAGTCAGGACCCCCTCTTCCCCCATCCCCCACCCCTCATTGGTGAACCCCAAAGTACAGGCACTGAGCCGGGCGACAAATAGTATGCCCATACCTCCTCTGTGCCTCTTATCATGGGCAACGCAAGAGTGGAAAAGAGTCTAACCCCTGTCAAGGGAACTGTTACCAGAGCCCAGGCTGTGTGTGCAGGCAAGTCCGACTACGAACGATAAGTCAATATAGTAATTATTGTGACAGGCCTAGCTAGGTCTCTCTATATCATTGAATTTTACCTATTGTTGGTTTACAGGCTTTTATAATAATTTCATCCACCGTCAGTGCCATCACACCTCAAGCTCAGTTGTCCATTGCGTGTATCTCCACAGGAATCGGCTGCCCGGTCCCTCGTATCCCGGCCGAGGCGAGCCCCTTGGCCGATCACGTCTCCGCCACCCGTATCCTGTGCGGTGCGCTAGTGTTCCCCACCATCGCCACCATTGTGGGGAAGCTGATGTTTAGCAGCGTCAACTCCAACCTGCAGAGGACCATCCTGGTGCGTGGAGCCACAAACACACACACACACACACACACACACACACACAGAAAAGACCATTTCATGTGACGGTTTTGCTTACAGACAAGATGAGGTCTATAAAAATGTCAGTATGTCCTCACACCATTCCCTTCACACAGGGAGGTATCGCCTTCGTGGCCATCAAGGGGGCATTCAAAGTGTACTTCAAACAGCAGCAGTACATGAGGCAAGCCCACCGCAAGATCCTCAACTTCCCTGAGCAGGAAGAAGCCTGAGAACCCGAGCAGGTGCAGACCAATGGTGGATGAGGTTTTGGGGGTGATCAGTTGGTCTCACCCTCCCACAAATGACATATCGCCGGAATCCTGCCAACATTTGTTTTTAAACCTTTGATGCATCTGTGTGCTGAAAATGGACAACACACAACAAACACGCACACTACAGAATGTGTACACACATCAGCAGTGGGATTTTTTTTATGGACTGGAAAAGTCCCCTTTGCCAGTGTTTGCGTTGCTTCTCTTTGGAGTCACCATAATGTTTGGGATGTATAACCGATAAATAACATGTTAAGAATTGGTGTTCAAACACAACCAAGAAGCATGAAGTGATTAACTTGCTGGAAATCTTTCTTGATGCTTTTCCTCCTCAAATTGCTCCCAAGAGAGCATGTGAAGAAACCTTTTTTTTTTAAAGCCTTGATAGCTTCCCTTTGATTGTCTGGAATGCTCATAAAAACAATCACCTGATAAAATTAAATATTTTTATCCGGAGGGAGGCAAACATGGACATGCTGATCCCATGGGAACACAAAAGCAAGGATACGATGAAACCTTTTTTGGGGGTGCAGGCATGCATGAATGTTGTTGTGGCACACACATCTTCAGGACTTGTGAAAAATTCAAACGCCTCACTCATTTCCCATGCAGCCATCCAATACCACTGACACAAACGTTCCAACAGCAACAATTACGAAGGTGAATCGGGTCAACTGTACAAATTTACCACAAGTAGGTTTAACTGCTTGATTTTCTACGAAAATGCACGAGGGTGGAGCTATGGCTACAAATGCTGTAAGTTGCTTTTTTCTCTCAGAGGAGACTGTCAGACTATGTAATTTTATTGTGAAAAGACACTGTTTGGGAATGTTTAAACTGCATGTGTAAACTTGGTGAGCTTTTCCTGCACCCTCACAGTGTCTCATTTCAGTCTTTTGGTATCTGTTCTGTGAATAAATGTATTTTTCCAAATACAAATGCTGATGTATTATAATATTTACCAATGAACGCCATGTCATGTCCCCGTCAGGGACTGTACAGTACTACTTGTTGGGCCTGGGTAGAAAGTGAGAATGGAGATGTATATTGAGCTGCAGCTAGATGCTTCCTAGAAATAATTAGTTTGGTTTCTTTTTTTTCAAATCGGGGAAAAAAAAAATTGTGAGGTCGGAAGGCACTTTCCAATGTTGTTGAACATGGGAACTTTACAACAGACTTTGCAGTTGACTTTCTACCCAAATTCACAACCCTCTGCATTCACAGCACAGTAATTCTGGTGTATCCAGAAACTTTGGAAGTTGGACATTTCTGCTTGTGAAGTAGTCGAGAAAATTGACATTGTAAAACATCACAATCAAATATAAATATTATGCATGTATTGACAAACCCAATTCGAATGAAGCAAGCAATACTTGCTTGATGTACAGCTTCAGCAGTTCAACAGTTTGGAGTCTCTGTTTACATATTTTACACTTTATAACGCGCTACACCTTTTCAATGGGAGACAGGTCTGGACTGCAGGCAGGCCCCTCTAGTACCTACACTCTTTTACTTTGAAGCCACGCTGTTGTAACACGTTCAGAGTGTGATTTGGCATTGTCTGGCTGCAATAAGCAGAGACGTCCCTGAAAAAGATGATGCTTGGATGGCGGCAAATGTTTCCAAAACCTGTATGTACCTTTCAGCATTAATGACGCCTTCACAGATGTGTAAGTTACCCATGCCATTGGTGCTAACACAGCCCCATACCATCACAGATGCTGGCTTTTGAACTTTGCGTCCCTAACAGTCCGGCTTGTTCTTTTCCTCTTTGGCCCAGAGGACACGAGGTCCCAAATTTCCCAAAACAATATGAAATGTGGACTCGTCAAGCCACGGAACACTTTTGCACTTTGCATCAGTCCATTTTAGATGATCTTGAATTCAGAGAAGCCGGTGGTGTTTCTGGGTGTGGTTGATAAATGGATTTTGCTTTGCATATTAGAGTTTTAAGTTGCACTTACAGATGTAGCGCCGAACTGTATTCACTGACATTGGGTTTCTGAATTGTTCCTGACTCCATGTGGTGGTATCCTTTAATCATTGATGTCGGTTTTTCATGCAGTGCCGCCTGAGCTATCGAAGGTCACGACGATTCAATGTTGGTTTTCGGCCTTTCAATTCAGGGAAGGTCCTTTTATACGCAATTATGTGTCAAATGGAGGGGTGAAATGACACAAGAGGACGGAGTTGTGGTTGGAGCACTTATAATGTAAAGGGTGTGCCATGTTTAATGTGTCAATTAAAGGTATACAGTGATCCCTCGCTATTTTGCGGTTCTTTTATCGTGGCTTCAGTGCATTGCGGATTTTTTCAAACATTCATAATTTTTTTTTTTTCTCAGTCCGCAAACGGTCTGCGAGAAGCTGCAAAACAACAGTGAGTCACATAGAGCAACATATACAGTACTGTACTCCATGTATATGAAAAAAAAAAAAATTGCGGACTTAAATTTTTTATTTTTATTTTTTTAATATGTTTATTGGTCGCTACTTTGCGGATTTAAGTTTATCGCGCGTGGTTTCGGTCCCCATTGACCGCGATAAACGAGGGATTACTGTACAGTTAAATGAACTGAATTCCATGACAATTGTCTTGATAAATGGCTTCATAATTGCATAAATATTTGCTCATCTAAAAATTCAAACACCAGAGTTCACATTAGGTTCAACCACTAGTGAGTCATACTTAACTTAGATCTTTTCAAAATGAGTGACATCAGTTTAACCTCTAGAGCAGGGGTCACCAACCTTTTTGAACTTAAAAGCTCCTTCTTGGTTACTGATAAATGCGGAGGGCTACCAGCTTGATGAATTAAAAAAGTTAAAAAGACAATAACTATGATAAAACAAATGTATGTTTCTGTTAAAGTTATCCATGTCCGCAATAATTATGAAAATGAATTGAAAACGTGAATCACTTGCGGTCATCAAAAGGAGGCTCAAAAATATAGTTACAAAAAGATATAAATCGGGTATAAAAAGGAATAAATATACGCCCACGTTTAATTACTATTTGTGAATCTGTTATATAAGTGTAGTTCATTTCTAAGATTCTCAGTACACGTATTGAAAAGCTTTTGTTTGTTTTCCTAAATATAGCATGTAAATTTGAAAGAGAATTTGAGAAAGAGGATATTCAGGTTGAACTCGTCAAAACGTGTTCGGGTGGGTGGGTGTTCCGGTAGGGTAGGAGTCATTTAGCGTCAACTGTGACATCTGACCAATGTTACTTTCGTTACCCAACCAACCCAATAAAAGAATTTTGGTTCATGGATGACCATTAGTCATGTACGAACGCTTCAACATGCTATGACATGTCATCCAAACATCCGTCCGCACACCCTGCATCAAAATTTTTTTCGGGGCTTGAAATACGGCGTTAGAGCAGCACATGAAATGCCATTGTGCCGCTATTATTTTTTACCTCTCCTCATGTCTTTAGGGGCAAGAAGCTTTCTGCTAAATTCATAAAACTGTGGGTGAAGAGTGACAGCTTCTTCACTGGGGCCGAGCTTTCCGCAGCCACGGCTTGGAGGTAAAAACCTTTTTGGGGACAGAACATTTGACAAGGTATAAATGAGTTCTATTTACTTAAGATACTCGAATTAGATGTTGAATTGTTTTTTCTTACTGTGAATTTAAATGGCCGCTGCTCCTCCTCATTAAGAGGAGCCAGATGAGGTGGCTCGGGCATCTGATTGGATGTCTCCTGGACGTCAACCTGGTGAGGTGTTCCGGGCATGTCCCACCAGCAGGAGGCCCTCGGGACGATCCAGGACTTGCTGGAGTTACTATGTGTCCTGGCTGGCCTGGTAATGCCTTGAGATTCCTCCAGAAGAGTTAGACGAAGTGGCTGGGGAGAGGAAAGTCTGGGCCTCCTTGCTGAAGTTGCTGCCTCCGCGACCCAACTGCGGATAAACAATAATGGATGGATGAAAACTAACGTCAGCAGAGCTACTGTGTAACTTAATTATCTCAAATACTGAAATCATCTCTCAGGCAACTATAGCATTGCATTACTAACCAAAAGCACGTCAATAATTGCTGGATCAATTCCATCTGAGTCACAAGCCAAGTTAAAAAAAAAAAGTGATGTTTTCTTGTCCAATGCACTCAAATGTCCCCTCCCACCTGTCAATCATGAGGACTGTGGTTGGAAGACACAGCAAAGATTCGCATTATACTTCCAATGGGACCCACAAAATAAAAGTCCATTATGATGAGGTATGACAAACACACCGGTGCATGCCAGTGTGCCTGCATGCCAGAGAAACATGGCACATCTGCCCTAAGGCAGCCATGGAATCGGCACCTACTGGTACAGCCTGTGCTTTTTTTGTTTTGTCCCCCCCAATGATGCAATTCAAAAGTATTTAATCACTGAATGCTTCATGTCAATGAAGACAGATTAAATGCATTCCCCCGTGTGTAACAGAACAAGAAAGATCACAACGTTCATTTACCTCTTTTGTTCCAAATTGCATCAACATTGCGCCTTCAGTATGCACACACATTGGTTATGAATGACTAAGAGACCCTGAAAAGGTGGAAACCACGCCTATGAAGCATGCAAGGTGTGCTGGTTGGAGCACACCCAAAGATGGGAATAAAGTTGTGCTATGAGGTGACTGACTTGCTTTGAAAGACTGGCTTCCAACAGACAATGGCAATTAAGACCAATTCCATATGTTTGGACATATTTCTGGATCCGCGTAGCCTTCCAAGTTCAACAAATTAAGCCCTTGGACATGAAAATGTCACTTGGTTACGTCTTTCGTTTATCCAGTGTTATTCAATTCCGAACAATTAACCGTGTGACAAAGCAGAAAAAAAAGTATTAATTAGATGCCTCACCTTAATGACTGCCTCGCCTTTGCAAGGGTGGAACAGTACTTCAAAATCACACTCCTTATTATCTCACACAACATGAACGTGAGATGTCACAGAAACACGGGAACAAGAGCAAAACTAAGGCAAAGAAAGTGCGGATGACTTCAGTAAGGGAACCCCAATAGGGACTGACTTGATTCGGCACGGTGAGTACTTTCTCTAGCTTCAATCGCCAACATCATGCTCATGTTTTTTTGTTTTTTTTTTGGTGTGGTTTTTTTTTTTTGTTTTTCAAATGCGGCTCCTTTAGTTTTTTTAAACAGACGATAGCATCTACCACCTTCCATTGAACTTCTGACCAACAGCCAGGCTTATTCATTCGTTTTCTGCAGGCTAACAGCATTTGGCTTTGATGTGATCAGATGAATAGGAGACAACTGTTACTTTTGTAGATCAACTTAGAACTTTAGATCAACACCTGACTTTGAAACTTTTTTTTTTTCAAATGCGGCTCCTTGGGCAAAACCAGCGTCGACACAATAATAAGGAATCACTACATTTAAGACTATAGCTTTATCCCGTGATATTGATTCCTCTGTGGTGGGACTGGAAATTGGGGACACAATTTGTCTGGTAAAGTGCCATATTTAAAAAAAAATAATGAGCTCTGGGTAAACAGACACGTGTGGTCATTTTCAAGTGGTTCAAATGGGATAAACAGTGACCAGGGTGTAAACCATGTACAGTAGTTATTTACCACTGGCTCGATCTCAAATTCTTTCCTTTGCCGGGAATGTTGAAGTGTGGTTTTGACAATTAAAAAGCTATGTGGTAACGGTAATGGGAGTGTTGGTGGTTTATAATATACAGTATTATATATATTTTCATCTGTGGAAAGCCACTGCATTGGCCTCACTGTGCTAGCTATTCATCACAATGATTAGAATTGAAAATTAAAATAATCTGTTTATATATTTTCAGAGGGAGAAATATTCGGACGATCTGAAACACATAAATCAAGCAAGGACTTTTATTTGACCTTTATGAATGCAGCTTACAAAGGAAAGAATTAAAGTTGACCTAATAAGAACCTAAAGTTGGGTTTCCACAAATTCCCCATCACCTCTCATTTGGAGGTCTGTGACCAGCTTGTATTTTATTTCACATGGGAACAAATTGCTTCCTTCTCTATCTCTACAGCAGTCTTTAAATCATTTCTATGTCCATCCATTGCAGTGTGATTTGGTGCAGCTACAAAGAAGGACCAAGTCTGTCGACAGTGAACACTTCAGGACTTTCTGAGAGATCTTTGGTACCCCACTGCCCACTCTTAAGGACGGAAAAATTCTCTTGGACTCACGTCATCCTAGACGCAACCTTTTCCAGCTACTTTCTTCTGGTAGGCGCAGTCACCAAAACCAGCCGACATTAAAATAGGGTGTTTCCTCTCGCCATTCACTTCTAAAAAAGTTGATTTATAATTTCAAAGTCAGACACTTGGCCATTTTTGGACATTTCGAAAGCGACATTATTACCGCATTTATTTTTGTCATGTTAAATGGTAAATGGGCTGTCACTTGATTAGTCCTTTCCTACTTCGGTTACTGAAAGCCCTTCACACTGTTACCTCATTCACCTACTGATAACACAGCATCTGGAGCAACGGGGGAGGGGGGGTCAGTATCTTGCTCAAGGACACTTCGACACGGTCAACAATGGCCAGAGATCAAACCACCAACCTCTGTGTTGTGAAACGAACACTCTACAGCTGAGGAAATGCCTCCCCCCAGTTGTATCGTTTGCAAATTGTTTTTGATCAGTATTATTACCCAATTCTAGGATCAAAAGCTTAGGAGTGCCGACAGTCTTGACGCTAGAGCACTTTTAAGTGGGGGTCGGGGGGAGGGGGGGGGTTATCACATTTAATAATTAGTACATTAGCATGCCAAAAGAGTGATGATGGTTAAATGCAGCCAAAATGGGCCCTTGTAATGATAATATTCTATTGACATTGAGGGGCCAAAGTTAAGAAATTTGACACATACTGTTTCCTTGTTTGAAAACCCTTGTGCTGCAAAAAAATGTAAATAATGTAAATAACGCAACATACAAATTTAACAAAAATTGTAAAAGTATTACCCTAAGTTATTCCTGAATATTTTTTTTACTTTCAACCACTCAAACAGCTCAGTGGCATCAGCGCTATACATACACATATAGTTCTTATTTTTTTCTTTGTATTTTTTGCCCTCTATGGACAATAAAAGTGGTACTGTGCTATGACCAAAACCTAATAAATAAATAAATAAATAAATAAATTTATATATTTTTTTCCATATACATGGAGTACAGTACTGTATATGTTGCTCTATGTGACTTGCTGTTGTTTTACAGCTTCTCGCGGACCGTTTGCGGACTTTTTGCGGACTTAAAAAAATGCTTTAAAAAAAAAATTTTTTTTTTTACCTGTATATGTTAATTGGTCGCTACTTCGCGGATTTTCGTTTATCGCGGGTGGTTTTGGT